TACAGGTATTCATTTGAGCTGTAGTCTCGTCTGTCCCATGGCTTTCCTATGTTGTCTCCTCTGGCTGTGATTGATGGATAACTGTCCAATCAGCACCGACTCTGGAAAAGCATTCATCCTAATCCAAGATCTGAGGTCAGTGTTATGGTATTGTGTAAAAAATTAAAAACAATATATTAACTGGGCATGCAGGCAAAAGTGTTCATTTTTCAAGAAAATCAAAATAAATGTTTAATAAAAGTTTTTGGAGACATGACCATTTGGAGGCAGGGGGAATTAATGATCATGATAGCTTGCCACGACAGCCTGCTGGCACGCAAGCTGGGGGAAATGCGCTGTGCTGGCCAGTAAAAGAATGCTGGAATCCAGTGACTGCAGTTTAGAGTTTGCCGCCAGATGGAACTATTACCCCAGAATTTAATTTGGAGACTCAGCCAAGTGCAGTACCTGTAGAACCATGAGAATGTTGCCCTGGCATTAGTAGTCATATAAAACAAGCATAAATTGCTAGGCTATTCACCTGAAGATTTCTCATGTTTAAAAATGCATATTCTCAGAAACGTCTTGTTTGTTAAATGTCTATTTTAAATATCTATTTTTTTTTTATCTTTGATGTTTGATTTCATCTTATCTTTGAAGTGTTGTCTAAAAATATAGGCTATGCATTAGTTGGCTGTTCTTGTTTATTATAGTAGGCTATTATTATATTTTATTTATTCAGATTACTGGCATTTTATATTTTATTTCACCTGTCACTTCACTGATGATGTAGCAATATTGTATGTAAATTATGCCAATGATGTACTTTAAAATTGAAATGTTTGAGCTATTCCCTCAGAAACTTGATGTTCATTAATGCCCATTTTATCTTTTGTTAGGAGTTGTCTGAATATTCTTGTATTTGTATCCTGTTCCAGTTTTTATTTTATCTTATTTAATTTTATTTTATGAGATTAGCCTACTGATTATTTATTTTTTGTTTACCTTTTTGTTTTTCGTAATTATTTTATTATCAATATTATTTTATTACTGGGACCTTTATCTTTTTCCATTTGTCTTGTCACTGTTTTTATTAATGCTTTGACAGTATGACATAGGCTAAAACAGTAATCACAGTTAAAGGCACAATATGTAAGATTTTTTTATTAAAGGTCCCATGGCATGAAAATTTCACTTTATGAGGTTTTTTAACATTAATATGAGTTCCCCTAGCCTGCCTATGGTCCCCCAGTGGCTAGAAATGGCAATAGGTGTAAACCGAGCCCTGGGTATCCTGCTTTGCCTTTGAGAAAATGAAAGCTCAGATGGCCCAATCTGGAATCTTCCCTTTATGTCGTCATACGGGGAAAGGTTACCTCCCCTTTCTCTGCTTTGCCCGCCCAGAGAATTTGGCCCGCCCATGAGAAAATGAGCTACTACCGTGCGAGGCCAGCGCAATATTTTTTTTCCTCGAGAGACATCATGGCTTGCAAACGAGCGAAGCATGGCAGTTGCCCCGCCTCTCTCCTCCTCATTAGCATTTAAAGCTACAGACACAGAAATGGCACGTCCTAAGGAAAGCTCATTGTGGGACTGGCTCGTAGTGGCTGAACTTCTGCACCAAGGCTGAATTTCGGGAAAGAGACTTCAGATACAGTACTAGGGACCACTTAGGCCTATATAAAAGCATCCAAAAAGCAGCATGTCATGGGACCTTTAAAATATCCAAAATCCACTAGAACGGTGTTATATATTTGGCTGACTTGTGTACTTACATTATCCCAAATGTTTCGAAGAATGTTTAAATCCAGAGAAATAAGCAATTTTAACTAGTGACACGGACCGTGTCCATAGTGTCATTGTGTCGCCTGCCAATG